TGTCAAGGCAGGAACTTCAGACACCTAGTTGACATCACAACCAGAGTCCAGCAGGGAGTCAGCAGCCTGTGTGTGCTCGCTCATGCTCAGCTTGATCCCTCCACCCACACACAGTTCAGGACTCCCTGCCTAGAGGTGGTGCAGCCAGTAGTGGGCTGGGTCTTCCCACATCAGTTAATTGAGAGTCTTCTACAGACATGCCCACAGGCTGACCTAATGTAGACAGTCCATCACTGAGGCTCTTTGCCCAGGGATTCTAGGCTGGGTCAAGTTGACAATTAAACGAACCATCACAGCGCACAGAGTGTTATTAGATTGTTTATCTGATTTTTCTCTCTAACAGTTGATTTAGTAAATCACATTCCCAAGATTGTTCTGAGTCGTTAGTGCTCTTGAAGTATATTTTCAAATTCCTTTCAAAAGGGAAATAATGTTGTGACCTCTGCCATTCGGGATGTGGGTTCTGTTGATTGCTTTGAGGTTCTGATCTTTTTAGGAGTTTGGTAGCAAGCGGCTGAGAACATCTAATACTGTCTTTCTGTTCCATATGCTTTTGATGTTTTTGGAAAAAACCTGTCTCCCTTAAGTCTTGTTCCTTTTACTGTAGTTGAGTGTAGATGATGTGTTATGCTAATTTGGTCCTGTGTGAAATGATAGTGACTATCAGATTCTTCCTTACTGTGTCTGCCTGAACAGCATCCTGACGCATTGTCTGTAGATCATGTGTCGTTGACATCATTGGTTCAGAACAGAAGTGGGTATAGATAAGCTTTATAACTTTGACTAAGTTTTATATTTTTCATTTAGTCATCTAGAAAGTTTGAAATTTCAAAGACGTCAGCAGAAATATTGATTATGAATAGATGTTGGGTTCATCATGATAGATGATATTATGCATTTGTGAGTTACACAGCCCCTGTTTCAAAATTGTGTGTAAAAACTGTCTGCAGACCAGATTTATTTGTACTGATCCTGTTTTCCTGTAGAAAATCCTTAAACACATCCAGTAATGTGTAGATGGAATATATTAAGTTGAGGTTGTAAACTATATTTTAAGGTTACAGTTATAACTTTTTAAGTGTGATGAAATGTCTTCCTTTTTACTTTCCTCAATAAAACCTATCATTTATTGCACTAAAGTCTTATGACTGAGCAAACGACGGTTCCTTTGCTGGAGCAATCCTGAACTGCAGGGAAAGCCATTCAGTCACACCGCCAGTTCCTTGCAAACGCCTTCTGTATTGGGGTTTCATTCTTCACTCAGAAGTGGAATTCTTAAGCCACTGAGCTGGGCACTATGTGTAGTTTTTTTCTTCTCTTTCCTTATTTTTCGCTTAATGCTAATGCTTAGTGTTCTTAGTCACTATGAAACTTAGCAGCTTTGCCCATTAGAACATGAGTAAGCATGGAAAATTTAAAAAAGCTGGGCGGGATCTTGGCAATCATTCTACGCTAAATACCCCCCCCCCCCTTAGATGAAGCTGAAGTCTACTTAAAAAAGTGAAATGACAGGCCCAGACTGAGCCATTTTGTCTGGTAGGGTCTCTGTCAGCTCCCTGGACTCTGGGCTCTCTCTCTGTAGTTCTTTTGATACCTGTTAGGGTGACATCAGTCACTATCTGCACATTGTTTAATATAAATAAATACATAACAAACATGACTTGAATCTCAAAGCACAAGTATTTCTTCCTCTAGTTTTTATTTCTGAGAATATAAATATGCTCAATTTCAAGCAATAATTTCTTAAGATTCATGTTTACCATCGGGAGACAAAAAAAATCTGAAAATAAGATTTTTACTCTAGATATTTCAAAAGTTATAGCAGAAATTATAAGGTAACGGTCCTTTTGATGTATCTGCTTCCTGGTTTTTGTCTGTCTCCTTTTTGTGCTTCACAATCTATGATACTAATTTGATGTCTGTTTTTAAATTGGTGGTAAACATTTTCCTTCTCAGGTTGTTTCCTTGGAAAGACTCAGGTTTAATGGATACATAAACTTCCGTCCTTTGGAGGAGCCACACTTCTTGATCACTGACCTGTTCTGTAGCATTGAGAAACCTCTGTCTATGACACATCATGTTGAATTGTGTGGTCAGGGCCTGGGTGTACTTGATGTTGGATTTGGTGATTGTGAGCTCAGGATCTGTGCTGTTCAGGGTGAGAGCTGGGAGTTCTCTCTGGGTACTGCCAGGCTGCTGGAGAAGCCTGCTGGTGCAGTGACCCTGAGGACATGGGCAAGTCTCAGTTTTGCTTTGCCTGGGCTCCTTGCTTTTCTTTTGAAGAGCTCTGGCGTTTTTATTTAAAAAAAATGCTGTTGTATTTTAGTGAGAATGGTTTTGATCATCAGCTTTTTCTTAGCTCAACTGTTTAATGCTTTATCTTTGCTTCAGGATCAACTTTGGAGTATGGCAGAACACTGTGCAATAAAATACTTTGATTGTAAGATACAGGTTGGCTGCACGGTCTGAAATGAGGGAGGGTGTATGCTTTGAATCAAGAAAAACCGTGTGGCTTAATGGCTGCTCACTGGATGCATCATGCTTTTTCTGATGCCCTTTTAGCGTTTATGAGGGAGTTCATAGTCTTCCATGTTTACGAATAAGAGAATTTTGTTACAGAGAACTGGCCTGACTTGCTGAAGACGAATGTAACCCGAAAATGATAGAGCTGGGGCCCAAACCCCGCCGGCCTGACTGTGGGAGTTCTGAATCATCTCACAGTAATGGTTCTTATACTATTTCTCCCCCAACAGGGATTTCTTTTTTTAAAAAATGTGACTTATATCCAAAGAAAGCTAAACATCAGCTGGTTGTTTTTTACTTGTTTTATTAATAAAAAATTGAAGTTGATTTTTTTTATTTTTTATTTTTATTTTTTTGGTTTTTTTTGCTGGGCGTGGTGGTACAGGCCTTTGATCCCAGCACTTGGAACACATAGGCAGGCAGATCTCTGTGAGTTCAAAGCCAGCTGGGTCTACAGGGAGACCCTGTCTCAAAAAGACCAAAAAAATTATTTATTATTTTTATTTTATGTGTATGAATGTATTGCCTGCATGTACGTAAGTGCACCTGTGACTGTGGAGGTCAGAAGAGGGTGTCAGATCCCCTGGAACTGGAGTTACAGATGATTGTCAGCCACCATGTGGGTGCTAGGAATCGAACCCAGGTCCTCTGCAAGAGCAACCCGTGCTCTTCTCTGCTGAGCCATCTCTCCAGCCTCAGGAAGTTGATTTGTAGAGGACACCTAAAATCTTACAATGCAGAGGTACTCTGCTAGTATTATGTGTACCTGTAATGTCTGCTTGGTGCTTGTTGCAAAGGCTAGAAATTAGGCAACATCATGTGTGATGCAGTTGTTTGCCCCAAATGCTAGTGCTGTGGCTCTTGACCAACTTGGGGGCATGTTGGGGGTTGGGGGTTAGAGCAGAAATTGCTTGGATTCAAAATCTGACTGCTGAGCCTCCACAGTTAAGAGCACTTGTTCATTAAAATACAAACTGAGGGGCTGGGAGGATGGCTCAATGATTAAGAGCATTTGCTGCTCTTGCGGAGGATCCAGGTTCAGTTCCCATCACCCATATTGAGTGGTTTACAACCCCCTGTAAGTTCAGCTCCAAGTGATGTGAGAACTTCTGGCTTCCAGGGTGCGCGCGCGCGCGCTGTATCAACACACACACACACACACACACACACACACACACACACACACACAAATAAAACCTTCAAGATCCATCTGGCAGTTATATGTTAACATAGTTTGGCACTTAATTCTTATCTTGGGTATATCATCTCTGTAAACACTGTAGAAAGTTCTAGACCATAGAAACGAAGAAAAATAAAGTACACATAATCTCTTGGGGAAAATCCTGCAAGAGTTGTAGTCGCAACTGTGGCTTTTTTTTTCCCATACTATTTTTATTTTATTATTATTTTTCTATTGTGATTTTTGTCAAAGTGGATTCCTTTTGTTGTTTGTGATTCTGGTATGAAACTCAAGCCTTCCTTTGTTGAGATGAAGTTTGCCTCTGTTGTATTATTGGTATGCTTTGGTTGTTTTCTTATTGGATATGTAAAACTGGTTGGTTTAGGTTTAGGGTTCTTTCAGATTTTATATTGGAGGGAACAGATAGCTTCAGATCAGCTACTGAGGAGTTCCCATAGAGGCCCAAGTTGGGCTCCAGGAGCAACTGTGGCTTTTTAAAATCAGTTTTTGTTTTCAGCTTTTTAAGAAGACTTCATTTTCATTTTATGTGTATGAGTGTTTTGCCAACTGTATGTATGAATGTGTGTTACCTGCCTGTGTCTGGTGCCTTCAGAGGCTAGAAAAGAGTCTTATATCCCCTGGAACTAGCAGTTGTTACCCACCATGTTGGTGCTGGGAACCGAACCTGGATCCTTTACCAGAGCAGCAAGTGCTCTTAACCACTGAGATATCTTTTTAGCCCCTCAGTTTGTATTTTAATAAACATTGTTCTGATATGGGAGATAAGTTATGGTGAATAGCAGCCACCTACGTCTGTCTATGTGTGCTAAGGAAAAGCATGTTTTCACACATACAGACAGCACATTTGCATATTGTCAAGTTGCAAATAAAATTCAATACAATCAGAATGGTATCTAGAATTATTTCTTTGTAAAGTTAGAATTTTTTTGGATCACATGTAATGTATTCTATTACATTTCTAGTTCTAGTGTAAGTATTCAACTTCATAAATTGACAGATTAAATGCATTTCATGACACCCTTACCTACCTTTACTGAACTTAGGGTTGTTACATGTTGATTTTTTTTTTCTTTTAATGTTTTCCTTTAAACGTGACAGGAATGTTTTAAAATGGGACAAGATGCACAGGTTATTTGGAGAAACTCCTTTTTTCTCAATTATCAAAATTTTTGGCTGATTTCTGAGATTTCCTCCTAGGTTGAAACAAAATGAGCTAAATTACCTTGGTACTGATGGTGTATACTAGACAAGTTATACTTTTTCCTGTTGTTTTTAGGATTCTGAGCAACAATAAAATATCTGAGCTGAAGAATGGTTCGTTTTCTGGATTAAGTCTCCTTGAAAGATTGTAAGTATTCCTTCCTCATCATTTATTTTATGTAATACTGTTTATAAAGCTGCTGCTAAAACCCCACCTATTCAAAATAGAAAAAAAATCTAGTTTTCCCCAACATTTTATTGTGCAGAATTTCAGGAAGTGAGTTTTTACAACAAGCAGAGGCCAGGTGGTAAGCCACGTTAGGCTTTGTAGGCCTCAGGTATGGTCACACTACCTTGACCCTGCACTGACGTGTGGAATCAGCTTAGACAAGAATGATCAGGACTCTCTGAAGTATTGAACGAGAGGATGCAGTGATAACAAACAACTGCTGTGGGTCTCCTGTGAAACCATGTACTAAACGGGCCCTGGACCGTAGTTTGCTGACCTCTCATTGGTTTAACGTGGACAATAATTTCGACGTTGTGTATCTTAAAATGATGTGTGTCTTGAAAGTAAAATTGAAAGAAAACATATTGAGGAGGAAACCTCTTCTAAGGGTAAACTGATACTTCTTTCCAAGATATTTTGGAATATAATATGCTTTTGCTTAGAAGTTTCTTTATGAACTGATGTATTACAGGCACTCATTTTCGTTGGGTAAATTTTAGGGATGGGTACATCATTTGCTTGTGTTCTGAATGCTGTTCAAGAATCCTGTTTCGAATTGTCCTGGTACTCAGGCATTTAGGCAAAAACTTAATATGTAAGGGAGCCAGGCAGAGCATGTGTATTTCTGTGAATTTAAATCTAGCCTCATTTTTCTTAATTCTCTTTGCTCTACTTGAATTTCTGTCCTTTACCCAGCTCTTCCTTCGCCATTTCATCTAGGGGCTTCTGTGCTCAAATTCCCACAGCACTTGTGTGCCTAGGCTGCTTCAGTGTCATGTAAACACATACTACCTAGAGTGCCTTATTCGTTTGTGCATGTCTCTGTTCTTTTCATTTGTACAGATGTCTTTATGTTAGGTTATCTGTGTGTACTTACATAAACACATAGACATATATAGCAGCACATGTACACTAGTATGCATATGCTTAATATACACACATGTACATATGGAGGAACACACTCCACACAAGTCCACACATATATAGATACTTAAAACCATTCTTGGCATTCAGGACTTAATGCTCAGGACTTTTTCTGTTTCTGTTAAAGAATTCTTGTCATATTCCTTACAGTCCATGAGCCTACAGGACACTGCTGTGCCCTCAACTCCAGGCCTGCCTTAACTGCCAGAAATAGTTCTTTATACACATTCTGTGGCTGCCGGTTCTACAAGTAGTGTTGCCAGGGGGTTGGTTAATATGCTTTGCTGTGGTGTGAATTATACTTTTCTTCCATTTAGTTTTTAATTTCCTTTGTCTTTTTCTTTATTTTCTGCCATTTGCTGGTAATGAATTCCCATATATGGTTGAAACAAGTTTGGTTGCCATTGAGGGCTATATTAAGAGCCAATGAGTATTTTCAGTCAGGGATCTGTTTATACCTGAATCCCAAAATACCCTCTGCCTTTTGTGAGAAAAAAAATATATGCACACATACACAGACAAAAAAGTATGTGTGTATGTAGATATGTGTAGACACATACACACGACTTTTGGGGGCTGTCTTATCATTGGGGCTTTCAGCCGGAGCTCCAGTGCTCACTGTAGGATCAAGGCATCCTGTTGGAGAGCATTTTTGCTAGGGACCAAGTATTCCCACACACGAGCCTGAAGGGGACATTTTACATTCAAACCAGGCACTTAGAATACTCCTTCCATTTTGTTAAAATAGTTCTTGTGCTTCTTTTCACAAATGTTGTAATGACCCCGTGCATTGCAATTTAATTCTGTCCTAAAGTTGGACTACTATGTACTAGAGACATGGGGTTGGTGTGGAAGAAAAATGTTAAATGAGAGAGTCTGACTATAAATATTTTTGGCAATGCCTGATTAATATGACT